TGTCTATTTACTTGTAACCACTCAGTGGTATATATATACAACATTAGAAACATCCCACCCCAGTTGGTAAAAGAAGTAAGCTTGTGGTTTTATACCACTTAAATTCGGGGTTTGATCCCTGCGGTGGACAAAAACGCAGATAGTCAATTGTGAAGCTATACGCTTTAAAACAATACAATCAAACAAATAAGAATATAAGAAAAATCTGAAAAACCTAAAACAAATCGGCTTAAGCAACTCCTACCTAAAAACACTCAAATTATATTATGCATTGCGCTTTGTTTCCGAATATTTTTCATAATAAAAATTTTGAAACATTTTTAGCTCTTCAGTTTAAATTATTTTAAAAAAGTTTTAAATCTGTCAAACTAGTCTGAAAAGCGATTTTAGAAACCGCCTATTCTACATAAATTATTGACTAATTTGACCAATCTAAAACTTTAAATGATAATATTGGCGTTTATGATTCATAGTTATAACGAATAAAAACTATATTGTTATAGATCAAGTTTTTCAAAATATAAAATCTTCCTATTAAACTTTAATTCTTCCACAGATCAATCCCACTGTTAATAATCATATGATCATGATCATACTGCCACTCCAAAATAGATATCGATTTCACATTAAACCTTAATATAAGCTGAATTACGGTCCGATTTAATATCAGATGTTGGCTTTGAAAGTTTTAAAATAAGTAAAGAGGAAACTAGAATTTTCAGTAATATACAGTACTGTGCAAAAATGTTAGTACAAAAGAATATTTTGTCATTCTTTCCATTTTATGGGGCTAATTCTTCCATGTCATTACAGAATGTAAGTTTCAACACTATGGTAATGCTTCATTGATCTCTGTAGGAATACTTATCATTCTTTAGAATTCCCATATACTTGTACTAAGGGCATGTCATAAGGGTTCTGCTTGAATGAACATACTGATGAAGTTTAGGGTCTGAAGTAACTGTCGTGGTACCCCATGCAGTGTCTTAACTATATAGAAAGGAGCTAGCATATGGTACCGGTATATGGTAGAAGAAATCAATTTAATAGCACTCCACAAATAAACCTTGATAAAAACACTATATACATTAAGTTTTGTTGTCATGCCACGGCCCCAAAAGTGTAGAGAATTGTCAGTAAAGCAGTGAGTTCGAATAAAATATTTACGTGATGCTGGTTGGACCCTCGGACAAATTGCTGCAGACTTGAGATGCCCCCCAAACACTGTCAAGTACACCCTATGTCGTGAGACCGGGACAGGTAAATTTGAAAATAGGAAAGGAAAAGGCAGAACACCTAAACTCAATGATACTGATGTCAAGTATTTTCGTTTATGGAGCCTTTGGGACAGAAAGAAGACAGTCACTGATCTCAAGCATGAGATAAACGACCATGTACCAAATGACAGAAA